GGGAGGGAAGGACAATAAGTGATTGAGCCTTGCAAAGAGAATAATTTGAGTATAGAACGAGATTTCTCCCAGAATAAACAGAGAAGATGGCTGTCATTTCGCACATACGCTCTCAACGTCTCTGTCTTCTGGAGCCTCTTCTGCTGAGAACTGTTCCCAATCTCTTTCTGTGATATTGATATTCATTTATGAAGTGATAATGACAGATAAACACAAGATAGCAATGAAGAAAAAGCAGTCTGCTACAACTGATTTAATATGCTTGGACACAGGTACAGAAAAGAGGGAGGCCAGACTGCATTTTGTGGTCTAACTCTTCACCTGCTGCAAAATGGCTCAGGCCCTAGGGTCACCGACTTCAAGGGATGACTGGAATAATGGAGACTGAGGAGGGCTCAGGCGCTCATTTTGTACAGACTGATGGGGGCAGCGCGTGGGCTAGAAGGTAGATGGATATGGAGACATTCAGACTCGGGGCAATTTCAGTTTCTGCACATGCGGAAGGTAGAATATGTTGAAGATTGACGCCTCCAGATATATCACTGCTTACAAGTATTACGCTAAAGCAAAAGATGGAAACTAAGATGAAAACTAAATCAATGGGTATTTGACGGGGAAGAATACTGGAATGAAGAAGACGCTACACAGCTAATTCCAGATAAGTAAAGCCTCACAAGCTGATTGTTTTTTCTTTTGGAGTATTATCCCATTCAGGTTTATCTTTCATAAATGCTGATGTGAGCTATAAGGGCTTAATAAACAACAGTTTCTTTTCCTTTTTCCTTTTTTTTTTTTATTGTGTGTGTGCAAATTATACCCACAGGTCCCATTGACACTTTCAATTGCAACAACAGCCAGTCAGATGAGAACAGCGTAAGAAACTTTATCTTAAGTATTTATTGTTATGCTAGAATATCACTCAGTTTCCTCTGGGGTAATTCAGCACTCCGGTGGGAAATATGTGACCTCATTTGCATTTTCTAATTGAATTGCTATCAGGTTTCCTGCAAGACTGAACAACAAAAAAAAAAGTTCCTACAGTTACTAACACCACTTGTGTTAACCAGAAAAAGGTTTACCTTCAAGTGGCTGCTAGGAGAGGAAGAAAAAGAAATCTATTCTTTATGGCTCGTAAATTGCCTTGGATTTTTATACTTACCCTCTTTGCGATCAATTTTATCCTACTCTAATGAAACTTAGATATTGTCATTAAAATCCTTCTACTACAATGGTTTCCACTGGAAATTTGCCTGCTTTGCTGTGGTAAACGGATAGAGTTACCTCATGTTTATTCAGCAATGCCTACCCTTCCTTTAATCAACGGGGCACATACTGAAATCAGACTGTGCAGTTATCTAAGACAATTAGCACATTTTAAGGGTATGATATAAAGAAGAAACAGGGTCAGGGTACTAGGCTCACCATTAAAACGTCAGCTTTCAACAAGAGCAACCACGCTGCGATGGCTGAGATACATGTAGCTCTGATTCTTCAATGCAAGCTCAGACAGACGGTTTGAATTCAGTGCCAACTCCACCTGGGCACAGCGGTCTGCACGGTCCTATTTCAGGGCTTCTGAAATTCAGCAGTGTCCCTGTCTTGTAGGTAGAGCTACAGCCCCCATCACCACAGGACAGGAGCATCTCACGTTCTTTAATGTATTTAACCACACGCACTTCTGTCAGCCAGAAAGGTATCCAGGTTTTAGCCGTATTGGTGTAGTGGCAAAAGCAATCAGGACTCATGGTAGAGGTGGTATCTTTTATTAGACCAACTGGATTTTTGCAAAAAAAAAAAAAAGTCTTTAATTGCAAGCTTTCAGGCATAAACACCCTTCATCAGGCATCGGAGAAATAATTGTAAAAGTTCTCCTGGGTACAGTCTTTTCTCCGATGCCTGATGAAGGGTGTTTGTGCCTGAAAGCTTGCAATTAAAGAATTTCTTTTTGCAAAAATCTAGCTGGTCAAATAAAAGATATCATCTCTACCATGAGTCCTGATTGCTGAGAGAGAGAAAAGTGCTTATGTTCATTTTACATGTGGGGGACTGAGGCACAGAGGAACTAACAGACCTGCCCAAGGTCACACACACACCGTCTTTGGCAGACAGAGGTGTAACTAGTGTGTTTGCACCCTGGACAGAGAGGACAGAGAGCAGGGGAAGGGGTCTCAGTGTTACCTGCCTTGGAGACTTGAACACCCCAGCTACTGCTGCTTCCACTGCGGCAGCACAATCAACGTACCCCCTAAATTTGCACCCGGGGCTGGTGCCCCACTAGCCCAACCCTAGCTGGGGCTGGAAACCCAATTTCCCAAGTCTTATACTAATGCCCTCGCTATTTGGATAAATTCTCCTCTCTCTAATGCTTGTAGCACAGTAACCATTACTACAAGCTGGTTTTTAAGTGGTGCCCATTCCAGGTGGCGCAATCATTTCCTCAAGAAATTTAAATTTGCTGAAAATTATGAACCGTATGTTGTTTCCCCTTAAAGGAACATGCTGCTAGGGAGAAAAGGGGAAGGAAACCTTGTTACTCAGAGTACTTGTGCAGCAGATGGCCATCCGATGGAGGGGGATGGAGGAGCACAGGTGAATGCTCATCAGACCAGACCAGAAGGGCATGCCTCCTCCAAAATTACATACCAGCAAACAACCAGGCACTGATTGCAGGATGCTGGGGGACAGATTCATAGTTATCCCAAACTATCAATCATGTACGTAAATCAGTCACAAGCTTACAAAGGAAAATGAGGGATGCTGGTTGCCCGCACCAAATTGGAGACTGCACAATAATGGCTTGTAGTTCTCGGGAAAAAAAGCTTGCCAGAGTCAGAAAAGTCCCTAACACAGTTGCCTGTAGATGCATTTTCGCTTGAGTCATATTATATCTACTAAGAATACTTGTCAAATGTGTTCCCTGGAAGGTCTATGAAATGCCGGTTATTAGGGTCGCGACCTGAAACAAATCGAACTGGATGTTGTTGGTTTTCAGCGCGGCAGTGTTATCTTTGAAAATGATCCCACTATCATGTTTGTTTCTTTGGTAAACAAAGCATTATTTTTTTGCAAAAAGCACAAGTGCTTAAATAAAACACAAGTTAGATGCTGGTAATGTGGACCCACAATAAAACTGTCTGTGACCTTGTCATTAGTCTTGTTTTCCATATTTTTTTCAGCCTCAAACTATTCACTAATAAGGCTTTTAGAAAGGAATGATCTGAATTTTAAAAAGCTGTAGCTCCGCGTTGAACCAGAGTTCAGCTTATATTATCAGTAGATGGATTTCCAAATATTTTGCTAAAGGAGAAATGGGTGTTCACCGAGTTTTCTTTGTGCTTTTGGCTGAGCTGAGCTGAAACTTTGAAGTCGTACATAAGTTACATTACTTTGTTCCTCCAGGACTGAATCACTGCGGGCGCGTCTACACGTTCTGTAATACGCTGTAGTTGCTATGCATTACATTTAGTACTTGGTTAGTCGAGTACTAAATCAATGCGCAGTAACTTGTGCTATGTAGCGCCAGCCGGCGCACGGCTTTTTAATGACACTTACTGCGCAGTAGCCCAATACTACTGTGCAGTAGAGTATTAGCATGGTTTTTGCCTGGCACACTACTGTGCAGTGCTTTTAGGCTACTGTGCAATTAGCATCTCATATAGACGTGCCCTGTAACAGGGAAGCAGTGTTCCTTTTGTTACTAAGTGGAAACACAGATGATACAACATGCGGGGCTTAATTATGTCTAGCATGAACTAAAGTCGTCCTGGGGAATGGGGCGGAGGGGAAGCATATATTTATACAGATGTATGACTCACCCTAGCTCTGGGGTGAATATACTGGGTGACCGCAGAATGCAATTCCTTTGAATGCTCCCCCCCTCATTTCTCTCTGCAGGTAAAAATTGGCCCAAAGGGAAAGGAGAGAGCTAGACACACTGCATGAGTCACTGGCATCACTGTAAAGCCTGGAGAAAAATAATGTGTCTCTGATCTGCCCCTGGGAGTGCAGTGAATCGACGTTGTTGCCAAGAGAGGGTTGCGTTTAAATGGCACAGTGCACCCTTCTGATGGTGCCTTCTTCTGCACATATCCAGGACAATAAAGATATAACAACAACAATAATAAATGTGTATCTTGCTTCAGGAAAGAGCCCTTAAGTATTGACTGGTGAGTATTGTAAGCCTTTGGCACCAGCTTGCATTATTCAACTCCAGTTAAGGGAGGACATGGGCACTCAGTGGACTGGATGCCTGCCACAAAGGTGCCATGTTGTGCCTGACTGCCCTTTTGGCCAAGGGAGGCTTTGTGCCAGCATGTGTTTCTTATCAGGCAGCCACCACGCTCCTAGTCCTTGTTGTCTTTTGAAGAAAACAAGCTTAAATCTCCAATCTGGATCCCCTCTATGAGAGCGCTCGGCTCTTCCACTGGGCTGCGGAAAGAGACAGATGGCTCATTGAAAGAAATTTATCATCGTACCATGCTGGTAGAAGAGTCCACGGGTCAAATTCTGCTCTCAGCTATAGCTATGGAGACGGAGTCAATGTGCAACTCAAGCTTTAAACTATTTCACCAGAGAGCAGAATTTTACCCTGTGTCGCTTGAGAAGAGACTAGTTAAATTCTGGCAGGAAGATAGGCACAGGATCGATTCGCCATACCTTTAATTGGAGGGAAATGGTGAACAATAAAAAGCAAAGACACGACAGTCTGAAAAATCCTCTATAAGGCAAGAAGCTTCTCTATATAACAGAACTAAGTCATCAGTTAAAAACATACAAGTCTGAAATAAGGAGCATCTTCCCTAATAATGCCAAGTGAAAGCACGTGCAAGGAAGGGAATAAGCTTGCAAGACGCTGGCCACTGTTTGTGGCTTTTCCTATTTAGAAACCTGCCCTTGTACATATGACGAGACAGACTGTGTAATGCACGCCTATATTATGTTAATCTTTTTACAGAAATAGGGAACACATGCAGATTTAGTCAAGAAAACGGCCTCTTTACCTTGTGACCACTGTGTTGCGACTTGTCTCCCACCAGCAGTCTGACCATTGTTTCCCATCTCTCTAGGGTTTGGTGGTCCCAGGCAGTCACCACAAACATTGTCTGCTTTGAAGGGGTATGCACCGGATGGGCAGCATAGACAGTCCCATCTGTCCTCACCTTGAAGTCCAAGTTGTTGGTTTCGTACCGAACTCCCTTGTTCCCGACACAGCCATTAAATTTTACTAGAATAGGAGGCAAGAGACAGAGGAGAAGTGTGAGATGGGTATGATAAGAAAAGCAATCAAACACAAGTTTCAGACATTTAATTTTCAGCGATGTGCTCTATATCTCTAATAACCATCAAGGAAATGATTTAACTGTTTCTTCGACCTTTCAGGAATGCTCCTGTGCTTTATCTCCAGCCCCAGGGGAAGGAGCTGCAAGCCATTTTTAAAGTATTTGATACAGTTTCATTAGATCTAAAATGCAGCTGTTCCCCATTTCTACAAGTGGATTTCTCCCTTGTCACCATTATCTTTTAAATTCAACTGGAGTCTATTACCCACGCTGTGGGTATTCTTTGCACAAAATGTATTCTGTTTCCTTAATCCTTCAACAATCTACCCACTAGATAAGATATTTGTACATGCTTAACTGAAACGTAAAGCCCCATAACAATTCAATTATCAGCAATATGTAACTTAATAAAGAGAAATTAAAAAATCATTTTAGAAAATGTATCCCTGTGCTGAAGTTTCATACATGCAGGCAGCACAGTAATCTGCTATCTGACCGCTCTCTATACCACATTCCTGTGAAAAGGGCAGAACTCTAAAACAGGTCCAAAAACACAACACGGAGCCTAAAAAATAGGGTGTCTGCTCAAGGGTCCCTTAAGGTCGAAATCTATTTTGCACTTAAAATCGAATGATGGTAACGTATTGTCGTGCTAACAAGTACTTTTTTGCTGACACCTGGCTGAACATCACAAATGCTGGGCTAAAAAATATCCTTATCTGTGAAATAGCAAAATTGACAGATTAGATGGATTTGAACCTGCAACCATTTGCACACAATTAGATCACTTTCTGCTGCACCATTAGTTCATTGGATAATATGCACATATATTACACCAGATAAAATATTTCAAGGAAGTGCAAATGGATATACAGCTAAGGTACTTACATGGCACCTATTACTGTAGCATCTCAGTGCTTCATGGTCTTTAATACATTTATCCTCATAACACCACTGTGAAGTACTGCCAGCCTCATTTGCTATACAGGGATCAGAGGTGCAGAGTGACAAAAAGACTTCCCAAAGTCACATGGGACGTATGTAGTGGAGCAAGGAACTGAATCTCAGTCTCTTGAGTCCCCAGTTAGTGGCCTAGCCAGCGGACCATCCTTCTGCTTTATTATGCACAATGCATCCCTTAATGAGCGCGGTACTGAGTTTGTTTCTTAACGGCGCTGGCTTGAAAAGGCTTTCCAGACTGCATATTTATTTAAATGACATTAGTACATTTTTATATCTGTGCTGTTGGAACTGTCACCTAGCGCTGCAGTAAATTATGAGGCACCAACAGCAAATGTCACATTTTGCTGATAAAAAAAAAAAGATGGATAAAGTTACCTAGTATTTTTTTTAAGTGGGTATTAAAGCAATTACGGGGGGAGGGTTTTGTTTTTAGGTAATTTCACTGTCACAGATTACATGATTTAATTACTGATTATTCTAAAGCCCGGGGGGTGTGTGGCGTGGCGGGGGGGGGGGGGGAGGGGGGCTCCTTGATATTTTGTTTAATAACATTTATTTTTCTATGCCTTCATTTTTCATTATTGCTAGGTTTGCAATAAATAAACTTCTATGTGCATCTTCTTGTCTAGAGTTTTTCACTTTAGGCATCTGCCCCATTTGCTATATGGGGCAGATGCCCCCCCCCCAAACCACCCCGGACTACAATAACACGTTTTTCTATGTAATAAGATCTGATATCTCCTCCTTTGTTCTGGGTGCTAATGAAAATGATTCCTCCTTTTATCTAAGAAACAGAGTATTACAGTACTGTTTCTATGGCCCACTTTCTGAAGGTCTAGAAATTTTGGGTCCAGTCCGTGATGCCCCTGAAAACAGAAGACGTTGAGCAAAATGAAAGCTCAGGCCCTCTGTTTTTGCAAAAGCAAAGCTTGTGCATTCAAGGGGAGTTCTGCTTGACCTGGGGATGTGGGCAGCGCATAGGAATAGACCTCACTTGATTTCAATAAAAAAAAGTTAGGATTGTTTCGGGCCACAAGAGTTCTGACACGGAAAGGAACTTGAATCAAAGCTCTTTCACCTTGTGGCTGTCTGGATTGAAGAGTCTTATTCAAGCCCATGAAATGTTGCTTTTATATTGAAATTGCTGTCAAGTTACTGCATGAAGACAGAACTGTCGCTCTCAGCCCACTGAACTCAAATAGAGGCCTTCATTGGTTTCAATGAGCTTTAAATTGCAGCTCGAAGGAAGCACACCCAACACTTCTGACAGCATCAGAAACAGGCCATGATAAGTGCTTGTAAACGAGATGTCATCAGAAAACTGTGATGTATTTAGCATTTTAAGGGCAGGTTTGCAATACCACCTAAGGGCTTTAGAGATTGACTTCCACTGGGATTTATGCTCCTAAATCTCTTAGGAACTTTTGAAAATCTCCCTTACTCATAGCTACATTAAATATATAGAAACATGTTATGGTGTTAGACAGATGTAGTATGGTCAATTAATAAGTTGTTTTCAGAAAACTCCTCTCTTTTGTTCAGTGCACGTAAACATTATGTAAACTGGAGAATGATTAAGCCTTTCATTTATGCCAGGGCACTGTAAAAAGCAATCAAATTCAGTTCTGTAATTGGTATGGTTTTCTGCAATACCTATATATCATACACATAAAGTATAATGGATAATTAAGACAGACAGACAAAGCAAGAACGTTATAATTGCGGCAATTCAGTGCTTATTCTAATTTAGTAAAGATTAAACAAATACACAAAGTACTACTAATTGGGTGAAAAGAAAGCCTTCCTATATGTTCATACTGATTCAGTATTCAAAATACTTAAACATCTGCTTAAGACACAGTGCACTGCTCCAATATGCTGCTCTTGTGTCATATGTCACTATGTCGACTTTTATGCTCCATTATCTAAAAATGGCTACCTCTTAGACAAAGTCCCTCTGTGATTCACTAATTACTTCCATTAGTTTAAAACAAACTTGACTAGAGACAGAGAGGATCCTGAGAGAAATTAAGTCTAATTTTTTAAACAAGCAAAGTCTCTGCTCCATACTGTTCCACACACGATACCATAGATAGATGAATTAAATATGAGGAACTCCTCCTTGACTGAGGTCTTAGGAGAGCAAAAAGAGAGAAGACTTCAAGGACACCAGAATCTGTGAAGTTTTGCCGTTATGGAGATCTCAGCCTTGCAAAGCTGCCTGAATAATGATTAAATATATTAGGCCAAGTTCAACTTTAGTATCACTTCATTAGCTGAAGTAGAATGACACTGGGGATGCATTTGGTGCATTGTGGATAGAGAGAGCGATACACTCCAACGTCCAAGCAATTTCTAGCTTCACTGGGAATACTTGCACAAAGGGCTCACAATCTGGCCAGAGCAATCACTATTACGTTCTCTTCTGTACGTCCTAAAATGCTCTCTTAGGTTTCAATCCTGAGAGATACTCTGCCATTGCTGACTTCGGTGAGAGCTGTGAGTGCTCAACACCTGTCTGGATCAAGTCCATAGTGACTCAACACACTAATGTTTTCTGTATCATTTTCATCTCTCACCAATACATCATGCCGATGACAGATAGGAATTTATTTATGTCCTCAATCGGATGATACATGATTGTATGCTACAAAAACTGCTTCAGCAAATTATGCAAAGGACAAACACCACGCTGAAAAAAACCCTTCTATGGCAGCTCTATCAGCCTTTGCTGTATAATCTTGGCTGTGACCTCAGGTGAACACATAACTATTAGGGCTGTTAAACGATTAAAAAAATTGATTGTGATTAGTTGCATGATTAAAAAATTAATTGCAATTAATCACAATTTTAAATCGCACAGCTAAAAATTGAAAATTATGCACAGAAAAACTCAAAGTTGTGCAAAATTATGCAGGTATTTTGTATGTTTTGGGGGTGGGGGTGTGTGTGGGGGGGAATTTGTGAAGTTGTGGGGGGCTGCGGGGGTGTGTGTGGGTTTTGGAGCCCAGGGAGGGGGGTCCCTGCACACCCTGGCAGGATGTGGGGTACTGTGGCTCAGGAGCGAGGGGCAGCAGCAGGGATGGAGGGGCTGTGGCTTGGCAGTGAGGGGCAGACACACACACTACCCAGCAGGTAAGTGTATGGGGTGGGGGGAAGGGGCATAGGGGAGCAGATGGAGGCCCCCAAGGTGAGGGAAGGAGTGAGCAGAGGCAGGGCTGGGGTGAAGGGATCCCAGGGCAGGTTGTGAGCTGCGGGTGGCTCATCCAGGCGTGCGATGAGGCTCCCACCGCTGTGCACACCCCAGGGGAGACATGGGGGCATGTGCCCCTGGATTTGTGCGTGGGGAGGTGGCGGGCTGCTGCTGCG